ATTTTAGTCCGCTCACTATTATGTGCAACTTTCTTTTTTCTTTCCATTTTGGGTAAACAAAAACCCTTAATATTACTATGTTACCCTTCAATAAAAAATAAAAACTTTATACTTTTACCCCTTATTACCCATAAACCCCCACTTAACCCAAATCACCTAAATTACCCTAACCTAATTACTCCCTCCATTTACTCCTCCCAACCGACACAATCCTCCATCTTTCCCAACCACCTTATTAAACTGATCTAGAGAGTTCTTAAGAACCCTAGATTTGGTTCTTCGTCTTCTTTGTGTTCTTCGTCTCCCTCCTCTCCATTTCACCTCATGACATCTCCCATTCCCTCCTCTTTCCTTCCAAAACCAGAGTCCCAATTTTCCATGGCTAACCTAGATCCACTAATTGACGCCTATATTGGCACCGACGACAACACCGAGGCTAAGTTTATCAAGTCCCTGATTAAAGATATCAATAGAGGTGATGATTTTCCTCGTCGCCTGTACACGCATGAAGACAGGCCAAGCTGATGTTCTCCGACCACATTCAAGGCTTTGGGGGAAGTTTTGAAAAATATTGACGAGGCGGAGAAGAAGAACAAGGAGGAGGGTGAAGGCGAGTCCCATGGCCAAAAAAAGCTTGATTTTGATGTCGTTTGTGTAGATCTGGAGTCCCAAAGTGTGGAGGGTAGTGTTGCGCCCACCCCCAAGCCCCGATCTAAGCCTTCCAGGCCTCCGCGAAAGATTAGGCCACGTAGGAAGGCGGCGTTGGTGGCACTGAGGCGTATGCGGGGTTTGCTAGAGCGCGACTTCGTGGTGCTGTCCTCTGATGAGGAGGCTGACCACTGACCCTTGCGTAACGATTCCTAACCCTAATATTGTTAATTTTTTTTTAAAAAAAAGTCCTAATTGTTGTTGGGTTGATCGATGCTGGATACTATGGTTTGTTGTTGTGGGAATTTTTGAGTAGATCTGGTTGCATGTTAGGTTGTATGGTTATGTTTGATGTTGGCCTTTCGTATTTTGTTGTGTTGATGCGGGTGTTGGTTATGATAAATCTGGGGGTTTAATTGTTTGTTGTGATGATCTATGTTGGATACTAGGGTTGGTTTTTATTAATGTTGTATCTATTGCATGTTCTGTTGTTTTGTTGGAATAATGTTGGATACTATGTTGGGTTATGGTTGATGTTGCCTGTGTGGAGTTGATTGTGATGTTGTTGATTGGCATGGACTGTTTTGGCTTATTTTTTATGTTGTATGTGTGGAGTTGATTGTGATGTTGTTGATTGGCATGGACTGTTTTGGCTTATTTTTTATGTTGGATGTGTGGAGTTGATTGTGTTGTTGTTGATTGGCATGGACTGTTTTGGCTTATTTTTGATGTTGGCTGTGTGGAGTTGATTGTGTTGTTGTTGATTGACATGGTCTATTTTGGCTTATGTTTGATGTTGGTTGTGTGGAGTTGATTGTGTTGTTGTTGATTGACATGGTCTATTTTGGCTTATGTTTGATGTTGGCTGTGTGGAGTTCATTGTGTTGTTGTTCCTTGGGATAGACTATGTTGGCTGTGTGGACTTGATTGATGAATGATGATGCTGGTATCTTGTGCATGTTCATTGTTGCCTAGTCAGTCCCTTAAAAGGAGTCCCCTGTGATTAGCTTGTGTTTCCTGGTTTGTATTGAGTCCCATAGTTTGATATGCTATTTAGCTTACCCGATGAAGGGACTCCATTGAAATTCACAAATCACAAGTGAATTGCTCCATCAACATGCATAATGCTGTTGTTGTTGAGATACCCTTGTGCATATGTGTAGTATTCAACAATGACACTATAACCCTCTGATGGATTGAGTGCCCACATAAATTTTCTATCTTTGTCATTCATATTCCATTAAAAATGTGGGTACAAAAGACAATACCTTTGAGTAATGAACATAAAACATTACAAAAGACCACATCATAATCTAAACATATTACAATAGACTACCTTACTTGTTTGGATAATTTCCCACCAAATTTCCTTGTGGGTGGCCACACTTTCTCTCTCCTCCCCCTTTAATTAAACCCACTTACTTTTCCTAAATTTTACCCTTCAATCTTTTGCTTCGTGAACCGTAATAATGTCCAAAGTTGCACATAAAAAAAAACGGAGGTAGTACATGAATTTGAACCTAAGAAATATTCTATGAGTCATTTGATAATTAGTGATTCATATTAGAACTACAATTCATATATTTAATTAGTTCTTGCATCACAGGGATTAAAAGGCTTGTTGTAATCATATTTTAGAGAAATAAGTTGAAACATTAAGTGTTATTTTGGCAATAGATTTGAATAGGATAAGGGAAGCAAACACAGATTACTAGCCTAAGAAATTATTAATGATCAAAATCATACGTCGATAAATAAAAATTAAAATTACAATAATAGTCTATACAACGGAAAAAATACTAAGCACAAGATAGCCCACTTCACTCCCCCCGCCCTTAAATCTTAATGGGCCGGTTTGAAGTAAAGGAGAAGACTCCATATTCCAATCTTGCATCAACTTAACCCAATATGGGAAATTGGCAATACAAAACATGTCACACTAAAAAGTAGGCAAACACATTCATACTAATTCACACTAATCGTAACGTAATCATGTGACAAGAGGAGGTGCATTCTGCATCAATGAGGAGCAGGGCTTGTTGTTAACAGCAACCCATGTTATGTCCGTGGGTAATCGTCCGGCACAACAGTGTCAGATCGTAGCAAGAAGGTTTGAAGATGATAAATTTAGGTCAGTTGATTTTGTTGCAATCCATCCGACTTTAGACATTGGTCTGGTTCGTGTGAAGAAAGAAGAAAATGATCAGTTTCATGGAATTCAGTTGGGTGAGAATGTCAAAATCAAAAGGGGTGAGGCAGTGGTTGGTCACGGACATTGCGCTGGTGTCCCTTTTTCTACCAAATATGGACGTACATGCTATCCGTATCATGGTAATCTTCCATTAGACGAAATTCTTAAAGATTTTAACTTGACTCTTGCATCATCTGTGAGTGATATGGATCAGCGTAACCAATTGGATTACCATGCCTTTAGAGATGTCGCTGGATGTGTTGATGCGAATAATGAAGGGCTTAATGATCTACCCTCATCTTCCTCTTATACAAGTGGAACATTTTGGTACTGTACCAGGAATGTCTGGTTGTCCTGCTTTTAAGGAATGTCATGGTAAATTCATTGGAATGTTCTCCTTCAGACATTACGTATCGTTATATCATTCCGGCAGATGTTCTTCATTACGTGGTGACTCATGGAGCACGATGTGATGTGAATTTAAACTTTAACTGTTTTTTATGTTAGAACTCTCATGTAAACCCTGATGTACTCGTTATGTTTTGGCTTGGTTAGTTGTTTAAGTCTTTTTCTTTAAATCTAGGTGTATGAATTGTAAACCCAAAATTCTGTAAACACTTTCTTCTGTTGTAGATGTTATGAGTCATTGAGAATAAAATAGGTTTCCGAGCTAAGATGGCTGCTGCATTCCCAAAGATGAAGTCAATGGTGCCTTAGATGACACATTCCTGGTAAAACTGGTGGAGGGAATGAGCATATGAAGCAGAAGAAAGTAGAGTTGGAGCTCACTCTGATAGCTACAACCTGATGCATCTCTGGACTTGCTGTGTTCTTTGATGTCAGATCTCTAGCTAAAATCTGTCTCCAATTATTACTGCTGCAAAACGGAAGCCATACTAACCATTAGTTCTTCCCCTTTTTTACTCCTTTTTTTGTCCACATGTATATGTATTGCATTGATGTCAGGTTTGTAAAGCATGCATCAGAGCTTAGGGCTCAGGATGGTATGGTAACGTAAGAGGCACTAGGCAGTGAAACTGCACTCGAAATCACCAATACTGTAATACATAATATATGCATATGAAGATGATATGTTTTGATTGTTTTCCAGCATTTATGTGAGTATTTGTTTGTTTCAATTCAGAATTATTAAGCAACATAATATCAAATCATCCAAAATAGATCTTACTTAAACGGATTGCCCATTTTCATCCAAACTCTATCTTACTTCAATTATATTAGCTCTATAGTCCCTAAATTATTCAAGGTTTGAAATTAGCAGACAAAGAGCTCCATTATCACAATTTATATTATTAGTTGAATCTAATAATTTGCTGTATAATTTTATACTATGGTATATTGGTATATTTCGGCATGTAGAAAATTTGAATATGATCACTCGAATTTCTACTGTTCATTTCAACCATCATACATAAATCATTCTATTGCATCCAAAATGGATTTTTACCATTTTAAATCACTATGTGAAGGTGAATTACCACTGGAAATATGTGCTGAGACACAGTGGTAATATATTGTGACATGTAAGATTTGGCGTGTCACGTTGCACTATTGGTTGCCTGGTTTTACAGTTTTGTAATATAATCATAATTTTTTTTTCTAAACATAGAATAAGTCGTCATATATTATCGTTGGAATTCTAGAAATCTACTTTTCAATCCAATTAGGATCAAGACAATATCATTTGCAAAATTAAAAATATGGCCGAAATAGTTCAAGGGTGTCGGTTTGGGCTGAGATAAGTATTTCGCTCATATCTTATTTGTTATAAATCGTAATTGGGATTATGATATATCATTTGAAAACTTATTTCAAGGGCTATCCATCCATAAGATTTGCATAAAACTTCAAGGCTCACATACTAGATTAGCTCGGTTTCAAGCTACGCTTATGAGAATAGAAAATTGGGCTAAAGTTTAGAAATTTTAGGCTATTAAGAAGGCCAAATTGGTTTAGAAAATGAAAATGGGATGGGACAAGAGAATAGTTGAAGTAATTCTTCAATTTATTACGCAATCCAGACCAAATTAGGCAGTAAAAGTTGATTTATCATCGAGTTTATTTTTATGAGACATTTTTGGCGTTTATAGTATGCCATTGAGCTAACAAACACAAGGAGCCCTTAAGAAGTCAAGAACGGAAAAAAAATTACTCTATGTTTCAGTGTGGATTTCAATTCATAATACAGAAGTATCAAATTAGATAGGTATAAGAACAATTATCAAAAAAAAAAAAAAAAAAAAAAAAGATTTCATCAACCTAGAAGCACGTCGAAGATCATTATAAGTAGAAAATATTCATCAAGATCGAGCTGCCGTACTCGTTCATTTGGCAACAAAGGATCAAAATTGTCACTCAAGCAATAAATGATTTGACAACACCTAGCTTCCTGTCACCCATTTTAACTAGCAGCAGATCTGAGCTTCCCCCGAAGAAATTGCAGGATGTGCTCACGTTTCCAGTTGTCAATTCTACATCAAAAAACATTAACATATGATTACAAGTTTAGGACATTACACATGTGGCTCAAAAGATAAATTGAAAAAAAAATAAAAATAAAAAGTTTGCTGTTCCCAGGCATCATGATACAGTGTGCGTTGAAAAAGTAAACAACTGGCCTAGGAAAGTCCAAAGATAATGCTGATTAAGGGAGCTGAAAATCCAGAGAAATGGAACATTACTAACCTAATTGTTTCAGCATGTTCACCATTGTCATCTAGCATAATCATCTTCGGTGGCGAGTTGAAAGAATATTGAACTTTGACCGAAGGAAACTTGTCATTCTCTTCTTCTATAAAGCCAACTATCTCAGGATAGAAGACCAGTTTCCTCATGCAGACCTCCAACAGTGCACCAGCATAGGTAATCTGTAACGGTTGTTATTCTTTAAAAAGTTAATTACCTGATAGCAGTAATTGTTCTGAATTGTAAAAAACACAAATACTTTTATAGTTTGATTGTGACAAACACAGAGGTGAAGATTTCATCTCTTTTCTCAATTTTAGCAGCACTCTAGTGAAATAGAGATGCAGGACAAGAAAACAAAGGATACAAAACTACAAAATATAATAGCCCAAAAATTTAGGGATGTATTACGAAAACTAAATACTCTTCCGTGAGTAGAGATTATCTGTAGGACATAGTAATCAGAGTCCACTAAAATATGCATAACAAAGTCACAAATATACAGCTTGAGGTACATTTATGGTGCTAAATTTCAAATTATTGGCATTCTTGATCAAGCAAACACAAACTCTCAAGTAAACAAGTTCCAATCCATAAGATCATAGGACAATTTAAAATCTGGAGTTTTAAGATGGAAGTTCAAGATAACGAGTAAATACCTTGCTCATTGAATCATCAGAATCCTCCACACAGCAATTTAAGCAGTCAGATACCAGTTCTGAAACCCAAGTCATAAGCACCAACATTATATAAAATGGTTCTTGATGCAGAATACTCATATTAAGCACAGTACAAGTACAAAAAATGGTAAGATATTTCTAAGGGGTGGGGGTTTGTACTTTGTAAGGCATCTCATAGCAGGGAGTGCATATTATCTTCAGCGACCAATCTCTGTCCATGCAGAGCTTAATTTCTTTCTTATTCAACGTCTCTTGTAACTGATTAGAGGTAAGGCTATGTTAACATTGGTCAGAAGTACAGATACTGGATGGTGGTTCTTGTTGTCACAACACTTAGCTTCTTTTTTCACATTACAAACAAAGGAAACAAATCTTAAAGTTCTTCATAACAAAAACATTATTCCTCTTTTAAATAAAATAAAACAGAGATCAATAAGTATTCTCTTGAATAATGCTTAGTTTCCAAGCTCCCCTCAGAAACCAAATGCCTCTTCCAATTACAAGATATGCCTGTTTGAATCCATAATCTCAACTAGAAATTACACTTGTCTTCAATAGAAAGCATAGAGATACAAGGCCCCCAAGCTCCAATTAACACTTTAGTTTTGCAACAACCCTGACATTTGAAAGATGAATAGACTAATATATACATGGTTCTTGTTTCATAGAACTATGACTATTGACTACAATGCAGGAAAAATTAATGAGAAGAAAACGATGTTATATACTTGTATATCTTGCTTTAGCCATGTGTTATGGAATATTGGTAGCATGATGTAAAAACTACCAAAAAATTCCCAGCTCAACTACGCTATTGCCCATAGCTAAGGTTAGATTCACTACCAAAGTGCCAAGAGCCAATGCACAAACCCACACAAAGATTTCCTATATTTGACATCACCGTATGTGGCAGATACCCATAGTTTTGGCAAACGTTCTCAGTGGATTCCTCATTCACGGTGACAATTTTAATGAGAAGATTGGATATCTTGTACTAATGAGTCAAATATATAAACCATTCTCCTGTACCTCCCAGCTAACCAGATTTTACATGTCGGTGTGGCAAACTGTGGATGGAGAGTACAAATTGGATATCTTCATACTTAGGCCCATCGAGCTAGGTACTTTGCTGCTTTCCATGACAAGAACGAAATTTAACCATAGGATAGGCTTATAAATTCCAACAGATTTCAAATAATTAACTCAATATTAAAGGGCTAAATCCACATAATCTCCATTATATACTCTCCTATTCTCTAATTTTCAAGCAAAAGAAGATAGCAGAAGGAAGGCAATGAAACCATAGATAAAATGAAAAATACACCAAATATTTAAATGTCAAAAATTTAATTTTTAATCAACTGCCCGTCAATGTATATTATTCACTAGCTACCTTTGCAGCATCTCACACTATAATTCCTAATCGCCAAAACTATTACGGCCTGTTTGGTAAGTGATAATCAATGGTGTAATGTAAATGAATTTGTATATAATTAATAATTTAATAAAGGGAAAAAACCAAAATTACTGTCTATTATCATGGTAATGCTATTTCAACCCAAATTATTTACAAATTGTCATTTCCATACACTATCATTTGGAGGGTGATATAGGGAGGTAACGTACATTTACGAAAAGAAATACAAGTTTGGATTACTACGGACATTAGGGTGTTACTTGCTTGCCCAATTACACTAAAATATATCCATCCCTATTACCAGTGTAGAAATGGCTACCAAATGGGCTATTTAGATCAACTCAGTGAACACGATTTCAGGCTCGTCTCTTATTAACTATTTTCCTTAAAACTAACAACTCTCCTCGATCACCACGGTCTCTCCGTCTAAAAACGAACCACTCATTCAAATTCAATTCATTCGATTCGAACTTTAACCAAAACGTAAACAGTCTACAATCATTGACACCTATCAAAACTCGGCATACACCAATCAAGCTAATCGAAACACCAAGAATTAATACAAATCAAACTTGTATACATCAACGTTTGCCAATTCTTACTCGATCCCAACCATTCTCATGTATTTTAATCACGCCAACTAATATAGCAACAAATAATTAAGCTAATTATACCAAATTCTTCAATCAATTAATTCCACTTTATGTATTATAACACTCATATTGATGCAATCTGCAACCCTAATCAATTCAATTCCCGCAAAAGTAACCCAAAATCGGAAAAATTAAAAGGGTAAAAACCCTAGACAATCAAATTAACGAAATAATCAAATAATGCATATCAAATTGAGGGAAGAGAATGAAAAAATTGAGCAAGGAAGGAGACCTTGGTCTTTGACATACTCTGACAAAGTTTTGCAATCGGAGCAGAGAGAAAGGCCCGTGAATCCCAAATTCTCGCATTCTTTTGAGCTCAACTGTTGTCCATGAGAGATTGCCGCCATTGTTAAGATCAAGGTCGCGGAAATCACCAATCCCATCTTCATCTCTCTCTCAATTTCCCAATCGATAACACAGAAATGGGGTGATGCTGTTTTGGTAATGATCAATTTGACTGAAGCAAAATACAGTATGAGCTTGAAAGTGGAGATGTGTTAATTCGGTTCTTCGTGTGTCGTATGGGTCGAGTCTAGTTGAGTTGAGTCTAGTGTGGTCTAGTCCTATTAAATTAATGTGCCCATACATGTTGAATTTGGATCCACTACTATAGATAAGGTCGGTCCTGCCGATATGGTTGAGTCAACTTTTTTGATGTATATTAGATCGTAAATGAATATATATTTATTTTCAACGTACTTCATATGTAGACGAGGTTTGATCTTAGATCTTGAGCACCAGCCCTCAAAACTAATCTAGTTGAAAAACGGAATAGTGGGAGAAATTCCAAGTTAATATCCTGTTGTTAATATAGGGGTGTCCAAGTCTTTTCACACTAAATATATGGGGGTAAGTTTGGAAAGAAATGCGGGACCACTAAAAATCCCATTTGCCACACTCAGCTCACCCCGTTTTCTCATTGATGAAATTTAACACAACGTTAATGGAGATGGAAAGGCTCATTAGAAAAACTCATCTTCAATGGAGAAAATAGTACGGGAGTGAAACACCTACCATACCCTTAATTACTCCATTTTTCTTAGGGTTTTCTTTTAATTTCGCCGAAAATGGTAGTGTTTGGGACTACCACCTTGTTGATTGAGTATGGGGCGGGTCATCGAGCTTGACGGTGGAAGTTAATGAGCAGAGGAGAAAATCAAAGAATGCTTGTGAAGGAGAAAAGGAATATTCTTTTAATCAAGTGTAGAAAGATCCAGATTATTTGTTGAATATTGTTTTCGATGGACCATACAATCAAGAGGATAATTTCGAAGGAATTGTTGATTGTTTTCTTTGGCTGAATGAATGTTTCTCTCTCCTCCTTAAGTTTGCCAGAGAAGATAACTTTATCGTCAAGTGCAGTCACTTTATAGAATTAGCTTACTGTTGTAGTGGAACGGTACACGTCAGCGTTGTTTTATTAAATGAATATAATACGAAATTCAAGGCATTTATTTTCCATTTTACCACTATATTAACAACTCATGTTAATATGTGATATTAATGGGGATAGCCTCGAATAGTGGGCTATTTATATTACTGTATAGAATATTGATGTAATCAGTATGATTTTTTTTTTTTAATGAAACAAAAAGTAAAGAAACATATATACTATTTAGTTAATTTTTAATTTATGATGATCAACTTAAAGTTAATTTCCTAGCCAAGCCATAAAGGAACATAGGCAGCCATTATGGTATGGATCAACCAACTCTTAACACTACTCATTTGATTCTTAAGTCATCCATTTGTTTTGTTAAGTAACTTGTAACAACTTCAATTTGGAGTAACTTGGAGTAGTAAAACTTGTGTTTGAAGATATTAAAAAGAAATGTGCTACATAGTACTCTCTTCATTTCTTAAAATTTACCCTTTATAATTTTTTGTTTTATTTAGAGTTGTATTGAGTGGATAGGTATATATTCGTTTTTTAGTAGTGAGGAGTAAAAGTAAATAAAGTAAAGAGAAATTACGAGCACAATGATAAATATAGAACTGAAATTGGACAACATTTTATTAAGGACGAAAATCTAATGTTGTGATTTATTTGGTGATGAAATTATTGAATGATTAAAATGATGAAGATAGTTTGGTGTAATATTTGACCTGGACCCTCCAACAACTGAAGCTTCCTATTCGCTTGGCATATCTGTTTGTTGGTTCCCAATACACATCTTGATTATGACTAGCTAGCTTCACATTTCACCATTTTTATTTGGGTACAAATTTTCATACAAATACACAATTACATAAACGTGCACAAACAATATTTACCACATTACTTTCTATGATTTTGATAAATTGAGACATTACATGTCATATACAAGTACAAGTTTAAAGTATCATTCGTACTCCATTTGCTCTAAAAATCTTCTACAATTTTTTAAAGTTAAGTCAAAAGTTGTACTTGTATGTCTTTATAGTTTGTAGTTTGTTCCTGACAAGTGTCATTTATGACACATTTTAGGGTGGTTTTTTCCCCTTAGTTTAAGATTTATTTTGATGTTTCTTTGTTATTTCTAAGTACGTTTAGTCTTGTTTTAGTTATCTTTGTCTTAGTTTATGGTTTTAGGCCTTAGTTGTGAATAATATGCTTTTTGCTCGATTTCTAGCTTGATTTGCGTGTTTTCCCGTGTGTTCTTTCACTCTTTTCTCTCTTGGTCTATTTGTTATTTCTAGTACGTTTAGTCTTGTTTTAGTTATCTTTGTCTTAGTTTATGGTTTTAGGCCTTATTTGTGAATAATATGCTTTTGCTCGGTTTCTAGCTTGATTTGCGTGTTTTCCTATGTGTTCTTTCACTCGTTTCTCTCTTGGTCTATTTGTGTAGGTGCTTGGCGCTTTCTTCGATGCTTATGACTCGAGAGAAGTCAAGAAAGTTCAATAGAAGAAGCTTGAAGCTAAGAAAGAAGCTAAGAAGTTGAGCAATTGTAGCACTTAAGGCTATAACCCTCCAAGCATCACCTCAAGCAACTGAAAGTTGCAGCCGAGCAGCAGCACAGCCAGCAGCTCGGCAGCCCAGGCCGCCGCGGGCGCGGCTCTCTGTTTTTCCCAACCTTTGCAACTTCCTAGAGATGTCTTGGAGAAGTTGCTGCCGCGGGCGTGGTCTTCTGGGTGTTTTTCGATCTTAATTTCCGGATTTCCTTCTTTCTCTTCTTGTATTATAAATAGAACGATTTCTTAGACTTACAAAAAAAAAAGTTTTTACATTTTCTCTCTTCTCTAATTAGGATTAGGCTTAGATTGGAGTTTCTCTCTCTAGTTTAGAAGTAGTTTTAAAGAGAAAAAGCTTGGGATTTCAATGGAGATTTGAGAGCTTGAAGAAGCAATTTTGTGGATTCTCTTCTCATCTATTCAATGAGCTTTTCTAACTTTCTCTCACCTTTATTGCTTTTGTTTAATTCTTGTTTTTGCTTAATTCTTTGTTGATTAGAGTAGATAATTAGTTTACTTGTTTGATTCTTACTTTAATTCTTATTTAACCTTGTTTTCCATGTCTTTCTTCATTATGTTTGCTTAGATTTTGTTCTAGGGAAATGGATTGAATTGAGTGATTGATTGTGATTAGTATGCAATTGATTCTTGATTATTGTGTTTGGATGATGCTTACATTGATTAGAATCTTTTTAGCTAATTGATTCTAGGTTCTTAATTGTGCTTTCAATCAATTGTGCGGAAGTGAGTTGATTGAGAGTCTAGATTCGTCCATACCTTTGCTAGGCTAGTTGCGCGGGAGTGAATTAGCTTAGTAGGATAATTAACATGCTTAATTGCGCGGGAGTGAGTTGAGTGTGTTGATCGTTCCTAATTGAGATCATGATCTTTTAATTGCAATTTGTTGTTGAATTCATTAATGTAATTGGGTTCCACTTTCCCTTGTTTATGTAAATTGCTTTAAGTAGTGTTTTAGTTATTCTCTCTCTATCTCACAACCTTCCTACTAGTTTAATTAGCTCAAATTAATACACTTAGTCCCTGTGGTTCGACCCTAACTTGCCACTATCTTGTGTAACTTGGTAGAGTAAAATTAGGTATATAAATTGTTGATTTGATCTAGGATAGTAGTCACGACCTATTATCCGGCGATCAGTTCCATACATTTTTAAGTAAATTTTTTTAAAAAGACTTACAACATTTAATATATCTGTTATACACTCGGATGTATCTACAAAAGAAGAAACCCTAAAGAAAAGATTACTCAACTAATAGATGAACAATAGCGAAAGGAGTACAAATATTGCCTATTGTCTCGATTAGTGTACGTAACTCTGTTTTCTAGCCAGGCAATTCGGTGTATATAAGAATTTGTTACATTACGCGATATAGAATATAAAATTCAGAGTATTTTACATTAAATGGGAATATTGTAATGATATCTTAAGCTTTTAAGTCTAAAAAATGACTCAAATAAATCTGGATTACGCAAACGCAAGATCGAGGACACTAATTAGGACGGTCAGAGGTAGTAATACGAGTAGAAAGAACTGCAAATTTTACATACATAACTAAAAACTGCAAATCAAAATGAAATCATTTTTGCCACGAATTTATTGTATTAAGTATTAAAAGTTTTATTTTAACATTATTCGATTATTGTGATATTATTATTAAGAATTGATATGGGATTGAATCATGGATACAAAGAATGGAAAGAATAAGCTATCTTGGAGACATTCTATAATTAATTCACATCATAAAGTTACTGCAAGGACAATACAAAGTAGATGGATAATGTATATGAACAAACAAATTGGCAACATAACACATATATTGCGTAAATCCTAATTCCCTTCTACCATAAAAAAATCTACATCATTAACCACAAATTCTTCCACGTGGTCAATAAGAATTGGCTTTGATCATAACATAATACAAAATCCTCCAATCACATACTATACTACTTTAATCAATCAACCATATAATATAATCAAATTAAAATTCACATTCTATTATAATGTCACACTCATATTCTAGCTCTCTTACCCATCTTTTATTTTAATTTCCACTCCAAGTTTCTCCAACCCCCCTTAATTTTTTATATATCACAAACTTCCTACCTTTCTTTCCTTTATTTAAACCCTACTTTTTTTTCTTTAAATATATACCATCTTTAATCAACTCAAAAAAACACAAACACATTAATTTTCCCATCTTTTAATTTTCTTCGTTTTTGCATGCAAAAAATGAAGACCAATAATAACACAAACAACACAAAACTTATTCTCTTACACCCTTACATCCTTAAACAAGGTAGCTCAAATAGGTTATGGTTCTTGGCCGTTATTTCAATTTTCACCCTTATTTTCCTCCTCACCCTTATATACACCCGTGACTCGTTCTCGGCCTACTCGAGCTCGACTCCCTCCACCACCGCGGTTACAAGTGGTGTTGCGGCTTCTAATAATGATGTGTTAGGTGATGGGCACACGACTTCCCGGTACCCCCTACCTAAGAATGTTGTGAGTACGCTTCTACATTACTCTTCTAGGGCTAATACAACGGAGAAGATGGATATTTCTGATACAAAGTCGATTTCGGATGTGTTACGTCGGTGTCCTTCTCCTTGCAACTTTCTTGTTTTTGGTCTTACGCATGAAACTTTGTTATGGCGGTCTCTTAACATCCATGGTAGAACGGTTTTCATTGATGAGAACAGGTAACGTAATGAGTTTAATGAATTCAAATGGACCCTTTATATATATTTTTTGTAATTTTATATTATCGAGTTTCCATTACATATCTAATTGTAAACTTAGGTTTATAGATAATATCTTCGTTGAACCATACATAAGGTCACGCTAGATGAGAGTTTGACCACATATATACAATCTTAATAATAAGGCTTTATCCTAAAATCAACCGGTGATATAAGGGATACCCTAGGCCTACTAGTTTAATTATACGTTAGCCATCCATCCAGATGTGAAATAAATGTCGTCTCATTTTGCATGCATGCATGTGAGTTATTTTTCTAACTATATACCTCTTAATAAAGAGAAAATGAGCAAAGTATGCTTAGGGTTATATGAAGTATAATTTATCAACCTCGTACATGTATCCTTAGAATAACACACATAAATGTCAAATAAATCATGCCACCATATATGCTAAAAAGCCTAAAATTGAACTTCTCATCAATATATAATTAAGTTTGCCTCAAAAAATATATATGTGGCACATTATTCTATCCATAATATATACAAAGTATATAATAACATGCTTGCACATCTGTAAATGTTTCGATTATAACTTGTCTAACACTAAATATATTTATGAAAAGAGGGTGGAAATATGATGGTATATATTTGCTTTGTTTTTTAGATTAGATTGCCGTGTAATTTAAAATATTTATGTAAATGGTACCTTATAGTTTTTTACAATAGCAAATCCTGATCACTGAAAGTGAAACACGTACATATATTCCACAATTATCAATATAAAATGGTTTTTTTTGTTGTCACAATTGAATGAACATTAGGAATATTGCATGTAATAATAATTTTTTTGAATAGATAAATAGCACAAAATAATTCACACGAAGCTAGCTAGGTTACAACTAAAATAATATGTTTTGGCAGGTATTATGCTGCATATATGGAAGAGAAACACCCAGAAATTGAAGCATACGACGCACAATACACAACAAAGCTAAGAGAGTACAAAGAATTGATATCCTCCGTAAAAGAGCAAGCTCACAATGAGTGTAAACCAGTTCAAAACTTGCTCTTTTCTGAGTGCAAACTAGGCATCAATGACTTGCCAAACCAAATTTACGATATCGATTGGGATGTCATCCTCATCGACGGTCCTAGAGGTCATTGGCACTCGGCCCCGGGGAGGATGTCAACCATCTACACCTCTAGTGTGTTAGCAAGAAACAAGAAGGCCTCGGCGAAGAGTGGGAAGACACATGTTTTTGTACATGACTATAACTTAGACCCTCAAAGAGTTTCAAGTGAGGAGTTTTTGTGCAAGGAAAATTTGGTTGAAAATAATGGGATGCTTGCTCATTTTGTGTTAGAGAGGATGGATGAGAATTGCTTTGAGTTTTGCCATTATAAGAAGAAATCTTCTTAGGTTTTATGAGACTCATAAATTGATGGGTTGATTTGTTTTTCTTTATTGAACATGTAAATCTTGGATGTGTAGTGAAAATGTATGGTTTGATCATGCAATTTGGCCCTATGGTATAGGTAAATGTTTGTTCTTATTTATGAACAATTTTCCCCTAAAGAAAGGGCTTGTAAAAATAAATTTTCGAGTTTTAATATGTATATACATCGAACAATTCAAGTTTCAGATGTATTAAATGATTATTATTGATTAGATTTTTTTTTAAGGTTCATATTATTGTTACATTAGCCAGAATGTGTTCTTTTTGGTCAGATGAAGGTACAAAGACAACTAATGAGATTCGATCTCAATTCTAAGTTCACGCTCGCTCATCAAGCTTTATCAAGTAAGTTGACTTCATGGCTACAACTCTACAAGACCAGATGATTGATATGTGAATTTGATTATGTACAAACCTCTTCTTGTAAATCTCTTTTATCTTTCTTTTTTTTATTTGACATGTGCTTAATAAGCTGAAATAAAGTATTACAAACCATGGATTAAGTTCATCGCTTAGCTATTAAATCTCATAAGGTGGTAAAACCTTGAGAGATGTGAGCAAAAGGAGTTAATTATAAATGATTGTTCTTTGAGGCTAATTGGAGCATGTTCTGATTTACTGAATTGAACTGAAGTTTTTATGAGATAAAGAAATTAGGAACGAAACTGAACTGAATTGAGCTGAACTGAACTGAAGAGAACATGCCCTAATATAGTCTAAAAAAAAAATAGTACTTCACATATTCATCTATATGTATTCTTTTTCTTAAATGCTAAAATTACTTTTTGGTTTTTTTGTGTAAGGTATTGAATGAGGTAATTTCACCAAATATGCTAGCCTAATACATTAGTATTGGTAAAAAGTAGCCATGTCAACAAAGCATAAACTTTCATCATTAATAGCAGTTAAGTTGTTATAATTAAGTCAAAAAGGTGATAGTAAAGAAAAAAAACACAAACAATGAGAAATTTTAATTATCAACAATTAATTTGATCACATAAATTCCAAATACGAAAATTGTGGAAAATGAATGTTTTGGTGTGACGGCAAAGTAAAGAAATCCAACTTAGATGTGAACTGGAGACCAGCAAAACTTGACTTAACTCTCAGTAGTTGCAAGGTCCTCCTCACTTCAAATTATTTCCAATTTAAGTTACCTAACATTAGCTTTAACAAAAGTTTTCTTAAAAAAATAAAAAATAAAAAATTGAAGTATGGTTAAAAACTTAAGATATATACCAGCAGTTAAACGCGACACGACTCTTTAATACTAGACACTATGACTTTTGTCACACAACAAAACACTGAACAAAAACTTTTATGGTCTAACCAAAGCACTGTACAAATTTATCTAAACTTCTACTCAACTCAACCGACCCTTGTCCCTTGAATAATGCACTGGAGAGTATAAAAGCTAGCTCGATGTCCCTTGAATAATGCATTGGAGGGTATAAAAGCTAGCTCGATGTCCTAATTTGCCAACCAATTAGCCTATTGGAGAGTATAAAAACGCCAAGCTAATCAGCTACATGTATACCCTTACCTTGTAAAAAAAATCAAATCATCACAAAGAATACTAATCCCTTCGTTTCATATTGCTCTTCCTATTTTGACCAATTATGTATTACAAAAAGATTCCAGTAAGAAGAACGATATAAAACGGAAGGAGTGATGCATACTCGAGGTACATGGAATGGAAGAGGGGACATAAAGAAACACTTCATTTCACTCTAATTCTGTGAATACTATTTGAATATAAAGATTTGCCAATACAAGCTTAAATTAATTATTGGATCAGTATCAATAGCCATATATTCCGTTTATTATTTCAGAAAGCCTCTACCGGGAATTTTAACAGAACTCCCAAAGGATTCCCAATTCAGCCGCACAGATTATCAGGTCAATCGAACCTTTCATATAGAACTCGTACGTTTTTTCATTACATCAACCTAGTTACATAAAGATTAAGAGGCCGCAAGTTTAAATCACTTCATGCTTCTCCACTTTGGTCCAGGACTGTTCTACAAAAAGCTCCAGACCATGTACCAGGCGAGGACTAAATCTGCAAAGCACTTACTGTCCGAGAAATGAACTGCCCTTGAATGATATAAATCTCAAAGGCGGATTAGCTGCATTATGAAGCATTGCAAGGAGGGGTAATTGGTAATTAAACAGCATGTATACTTGTTGAAGTGAGTACTAAAATCTTGGGGAACCAGTTTTTATGGGTGCCCAAATATCTGCACCATTGCTGCGAGCCAATCCAGCAGTACACTCAATTGGCACGAGACACAACCCTTTGCTTCTTAAGCTATAATGTACTTGTTCCTGAAGACATTAAATGAAGAATAAAGTCTACCGATCAGCACTCAGCAAAGTAGACCACAGTATGCAACAACCACCAATTGTGAAGTCGACATGAACATAATATCAGAGCCATAAATTATGTGCATACATCAGTAATTAACTAATAATGGTTGTTTTCTAGGTACATGAAGCATAGATGTCAGACACTACTAATTTCAACTTAACTCTCGGCTACAACTCAATGACTCGTAAACAATGAATTGGTACAATACTGACTGGAACCAGCAAATGATCCAACCCAAAATAACTCAATCCAAAGCTGGACTCTACTTGAAAATAGATACCTGCCCAATGATTCAAAAGCCGATAAAAGCGATTGTTTTTCCACAATAAACTGAATAAAACCCGAATCCATCCCAATTCGAAATGATTGACACAATACTTGAACTGAACACGATTTCACACATTTGCCATCCCTGAATTACTGATAGGAAGCTAGGAAGTAGGAACTACATGTATTTTCCTATAGATCTAGAAGAATTCTGAGCAAAAAGGAGACTTCTTTTAGCTTTTTGAAGGTTACAAACATGAAGCATCCTTAAACAGGACAGTGTAGAATTTGTTATCTACTCTAGTAGTCACTTAACAATACCAAGGAAGTCAAGAAGTGGGTAGAAAATGACTACACACAAGTAAGTGTTTGAGACGCTACATATATTTATTCAATAAATAATGACTAATCACTTTCAGCAATACTTGAAAACCATCAATTTAATTCTGTTTCAAAACATTAACAGGTTAAGGTCTCAAACACTTTGCCACCAAAAACCCAGCTGTGTCCCACATATGTCACAATCCAGTCTTTTTCTCATAATGTTTAGCACAATTACTCTTCTAGCTAAAAAATGAGGTGTTAAATTCGTTTTCAAACCATATGATTAGTTCCGTTATTTCCTAGGATCTTCGGTCTTTAAAGACATTCCCCCTTGTCTTAAAAAATCTTAAGCAATGCCATCACAATCAAGTCCTCAAGAAGACGCTTTAGAACTTAACAAGTACTAGCATGCAAACAACCCTTTTACAAGATCTAACATAGATATGCACAATTACATCATATTTCTGTCTCAACCATGATACCAGTTCTCACATTCAACTCAAACTAGACCAGAAAAATGATTTTGTTTGGTTCTAAAACGTATCAGATCAGAATTAGCAGTAAGTGTGTGTGTGTGTGTGTGTGATATATTTTCGGTGAAGAATACTTTTCAGGATCCATATCAGCAAACAAAACTAATAATTTCTTTTTTATTAAAATCCAAGATGCATGGGATGAACTGGAAAAGGTAAGGTTCTAGCAAGCATGCATTACAGGAACGCCAAATAGCACCAACTTGATCAAATGAACAACTGATGTCATCTTCCAAGAAGTAGAACTTGCTCTATTGGTGTGGGAGGACAGTATACCCGAGTGCATTGATTCAACTCTATACAAAAACACATGGATCAAAAAGTTACTCACCTCTATAATTGTATCTGGTGTATTGTTCAGGTATGGAGCACTCAAAACCTACAAAAACATTCTCATACAAATTCACAAAACTTCAACATAAAATTATATTTATGTATCTAAATACATAGGGAATTTGAGGATTTTAAGACTAAATAGAGGTATTTTTAGGGAAATTCTATTTTCCTGAAATTGGTAATATTAGCTTAGAGTCATAATGACTCATGAAATTCCACAGTAATTAGTTCAGTAGTCCATGCCTTAGAGCAATATAATTGATTAATAAATTGACTCAATTATAGATATTTTGTTTTCTTGCTAGTCATTGAAAAGCTAGGAAAATCAGAAAGATCAGTGCATAGTCGAAGGGTATTTCTAGTGTCCGGTACACAATATAGTCATGATTAACCTTCAGAATGGCATACCTTCACTTGCTCATGCAGGAATCTGATGTACTCCATCGCCTCATGCAGGACAGAGGCTGTATCAGTCTGCATCACAAATTTTATCAAATTATAAGAATCATACATGACAGAACATCTACCCACAAAAATTCTTATGAAAACACACAACTTCATGTTTGCAAATCTTCAAATATGATTAAAAAGGTAATCCGCTTATTGAAAGTACAGCTCAAGCAATGTTGCATAGTTACAAATGCTCTTCATCATCTACAATCTCCGAAGTATTGAAGGAAAAATTACAATAACACGTGCCATACCTTGCCATATGGAGAAACAAGCTGTTGTAGTGTAGTTATCTTTTCACCAAGCTTTTCTTTTCTTTCCTGCATCAATAAACCATGAGTCAACGGCTACAATAAGTTCATCGATTTGCCTAGACACACCACCAAGTTTTCTAACCTTAAGAAAATGGAAAAGCCAAGCACAGATGACTAAGTAGTGTTCCTATAAAATTGTCTCTTCTTTACGGGGGAGAGGCGGGGGCTTTAAATCTGGGCATGTACATAAAAAATGTGCAAATCTTAAGACTTGATATTGAACCTCATGAAGCAAGGATTACAACAGTCATCATCAAGGTTTGTAAAGAAAGATCCTACTTCTCAATTTTAAAAGGAAAACAAATATTTTAATAGTGGACAAAGCCATAAATACATATTTTGAGTACTGACAAGCAGGCAAAGCGTTCCTCAGAAAATGATTAACTCTTCCAAGTTCCAACCCCTAAAAATTGTTCCAATTCGATCAAGATTCTGTGATATATACCCAGGCAACCAAAAGAATAGTGCCTTCAATAGAAAATCGCTACCCCTTCCAAAGATAACCCAAAAAAATTGTGGTACAAAAAAAAAAAAAATACTACATAGATTTTATAGCATAAATGTCAAAATTAACACAGAAGGAAGTTATGTGAATGTAGTTAACATCAAGAACAAACCTTGCTCGACATTGATATATCAACCTTTTGTCGCTTGGATGCAACTGATGTGAAACTATCCTGATCAATAGGCCTAACACTCCTCTTAAGTTCGGTCATCTCACTGCTCTAAACTCTCCTAGCACAAGCATATACAAACAATAATGCAAAGTTAGTACAATAGAAGTGCATGGCAACACTGAAACATGTTGCTTAAACATGAATTGCCTTGTCACAGCATATAAATAAACTACTTTAAAATACCATAAAAATAACAGCTTTAACACTCTAAAAAACCTACATTTATCACTACTTGATTTGGAATACCAAAGCAATAAGGATAATAACTAATATATCCTTAATTTGTGTGCATAACCTTCAAAAATTCAATAACATAACACTCATAGTAGCAGCATATATGAGATTATAGTCTTGATACCATAGGTAACTTCAGTGTAAAAAAAAAAGTACTCAAAAACTAATACAGTACTTCAAAACCAGCAATATCACTATCACAGCTACAAAACAACATCAGTCTTTTGACCTGCTCAAACAAACAATCACTTGATTTTTATATGATTATGAGCGATCGTGTTATAGAGACCAAGTCATGCAGGTGTCATACAGGTGCGAGTGAGCACACTCGCACTGATTGAAATTATCTCTTAGATACATCCAGCATCCTCCATAGCTTCTTTTTAATAAACTTCCTATGCTACGTGTAATACAGGTTAGTTCAGCTAAATGATAAATAAATACAACTAGAAAGAGCACATTAACCAAGCAAGCCATCTGTAAAAACAAGAGCATAGCAGACTTTTGTACCATGGGATTGATTTAATCAAACGGGGCGGGATTAATTTATACAAAGTTCATTAAATAAGCCACAACTACTTCAACGCTATCTGTAATCAGTGATCACAAGACCTTGTATGAGTTTGCACTGCAAGCATTCCATGCTCACATAGAGTAGAAAAATCACAAAATTAACGCAGCAGAACAGCCCATGAACCTAAATTGAATAAGTAAAATTTACAGTTTCCAATATATGATTTTTTGTAAAAAAAAATGACATAGGAAACATCCTAGGCAGAGTGCAGCCATTCCCTACTTGCATATTTTTATTCACGCAACGCCTCCACACGAGTCATGATAATCGATTATGACAAAAAAATGGCAACCGATAAATATAATAATACAAAGGCTTATATTATATACAACGAACCAGGAACAAAGCAATCTAGTCAAAGATCATACTTCAGCAAATTTGCTGACACCACCTAATTATATTTGCTCATTGTCGATTAAGAGAGTTTTATACATAATAAATCCAAAACATTTAAAATTATTAAATGTAAGGACTATGAAACAGACAATGCTTACAATTAGTAAGCAAGAAAACAAAATCAACCAAACACATAACCATTTTTGTGGTTAGTATTTGAGATAAACCTCAACTAATTCTTTCAATATCAGACACAAAAGCAGACAATTAATTAAATTAGAGATGTCCATCATGAGTATGCAAACATCAATAAACGCGTCTCATCTAGATTTTATTAGCACGATCATTTGTGTATGTACTCGATTGTCCTGATCCATGCTCAACATTATCACCTAAATTGATGTCCAATAAGACATGGGAATTGGATGAAATTATTAATCAACTGTTATTGGCTATATTTTACTAAACCCAACCATATATTCTTGTTTACTCCTAAATAATGCTAGGACCACAAAAACCGACCATCAAGGAGTTTTCAGTCTTTCAGAAGTTCTCAGCAACAATAAATTAAACCCAAAATATGATCACACACTTAAACTTCACTAGTATTAATCTACTATGTGGTGACAAACAAATATTTAGCAAGGAATTTCAGCCCATCTGTCAAATGGGTTCATTTATTATCATGCATATCAAATCAACGAAAAAGCGACATTGGTCATCTACCTCGATCACTACCGATAACTCCCACCTCGTCTCCCCCCTCCTCGCAATGGTTGTGCCTCCTAGATCAGAATTAGGGGAAAAAAAAAAAATCATACTCCGTATACACTTATACAGATATACCTCCCAAGTACGATCACAATTGCTCGACTGAGTACGTCGGTAGGGCCTTCTCCTTACCTTATAAAAATAAAAAAAATAAAAAAAAAACCGAACAATCACAAGTGCATGTATTGATAGAGGGTCTAAACCACCTGCCCTAACAGTTTCCTAAGGTAAATGTAATCCAAAAACACTACCAAATTTGTGGGTCCCACAACTCTAATTTTGTAAGGCACATTGATGAGTAATAAGAGTCAAAGATAAAAAGGGAGTGAATGTGGAAAAATGTACAAATGGGTTGAAAAAAAGTAGGGTAATAATGATCATGATGATGTGATTACCGTACTTTGTTTACACTACACAAAAATACTCCCTCCGTCTCAAAATAACTATATGATCGTGATTATTGTACTTCTAACTAGCCTGCTTACACTATAAAAAGTACCAAAAATACTCTCTCCATCTCAAATTAATTGTTTCGTAGCATACTTTCTCCTAACTCAAATTAAGTACATGCATGTTTAAAAGCTCAATCATAATCCACCGTAATGAGAACTCAGTCTTTTAACTCAATTCCTTAAATCCTTAATTAAATGCAGCTTATTATTTAGGAACGAAGATAGTATTATTGTACGAATATTCAATTCAAATTGATACTCGGTACTATGTATATGTGACAGTGGATTCATATGAGTAAAAAAATGATTCACACGTCATGCAGATAAAATCCCAAAGATCATACATTCATACCAAATATATTACACCAGTAAATAGTACGGAAAATAAAAAGTACCAAAAAAAATATTTTCATTTATTATAATCATCAATAACTCAATGCTAAAACAGACACCGAGAGTGATACGTGTCACATCGTGCTATTTTTTCCCTCCAAAATTCCCCTTCCCTTTTTAACCATTTCTTTTGGTGAATATTTGATACAATTATAATAATATCATTTCAAATCTTTTATATTATCTTTATGTCAAAAATATTCCTTTTTATTTGGTGCTTATAATTCTTCCCTAAAATATTAATCTACTCTTTTTTAATTATATGATAGACGAAATAACATTAAATTTTGCTAAAAAAGTAATACTACGTAATAAAATTGATTTATATTATTGATATTAAAGAAATTACTTTAAAATATAACTTTTATTTGTTAGACATAATAATTTTTTTTAAAAAAAACTACACTTACCGTGCCATGCACGGGGCCTAAGCTAGTTAGTACTAATGTTTTGCCAATTTATTGATTTAATGAAAAAAAAAAAAAAAATCAAGCCAAAGATTAAAATATAAGAGTGACCGGCTAATTCTACTCCCTTCAAAATCGGGTGGAAATAACCTTCCAAAAAATAAAATTCATAACTATGCATGAAAAACAAAATTCTATATTATTAACACTCAAATTGAATATTGATAATTCTATACTCCTATAGAAAGAAAAAACAAATGTTGCAACTAATAAAGAATGAGCGAGTCGTAACTCGAAAGACGAACGACCGCTAATAGTAAGACAGATGATTAAAGAACAAGAACTTACAGAGAAAAGCAGAGTCTGCATTTCAAGAAAGCATAAAACTTGAGTTTGAGTTTCTTCAGTTTCTTCTCAATCTTCTTAAAAACAGGGCATAAAAAACCGCCAAACAAACCAAAAAAATTAGGTGAGCTACAAAGTTGAAGCAATAACTCAACTCAATTTAAGCCTAAAAAACTTATTAAAGTTTGAAACTTTTTTAGTAAAATTCTTCAGTTATCAACGGAATTTTTGCACAAAAACAAACTTTTTTTCCCAAGATTAAATCTTTTTTCTGGGTTCCACACAAATTAATAAAATATGGGGAAAAAATTTTGTGGGTAATCAAGATTAGTTGAAAATTATGGGTTTTTAGTTGGATTGTTTGTTGATTGAGTTTTAACAGAAAAAAAAAGAGGATGAAATGAAATGGAATAATTGAGAAGGTTTTGGGTTTTTGTGGGAGTACTTTTTATAGAAAAGAGTTAGTAATAAAAATGAAAATATATTTTATAGAAGGAAAAAATAAAAAGGGAATTTTGTGGATATATGACAGCTAATTTCCAACCATGTAAAAGTAGTTATGAGGATATTAATTGATTAGTTAAATTAAAAATTAAAAAAAAATTATGAAATTAAAAAAAAAAAAAAAAAAAAATTGTTGGTATGCTATGCTGAAGTCATATGATTTTAAGTTTGGTTGAATAAGAGTATAAGACCATATTTTTGGTGTGTTGTGAGAAAATGGCCACTTTTTATTATGTCCTACGCGCTAGCTTGCTTGCTGGCGGGCTTCTCGTTCTTTCGTCTCATCTTATGATCATCTATTCATCCATAACTAAAACTAAAAACAAAATGTGTCCTTTTTTTCTTTTTTTTTGGTCTTTGTAATAAATTCCCTTCACCATGTTTGATACCACGCCTTCTATGAGTTCTATCTCCTTTTCGTTCGATGTGGGACAACTGTTACAAGACCTACAAGTCGGATATTTTCATAAAAAAATTAAAACTAATAATCATACATTTGGCTCATCTACTCAAAATAATCTCACCTTTACGTATTCTGAAAACAATCTCACCTTTATACCCAATATTCTCAAAATAAGTCTTTTTACTTATAACCGGTTTAACAGGTTAATTTTTTTTTTTAATTTTTCTTTTAACCTCTCTCCTCCTTCCTCACCACTCTCCACCAAGCAATCACCTCCATAACCACCACCGTCATCCCCACCACGAAATCCCACGCCTCCCAAAACTCCACCCTTACCCTCATCCTCACCCCAAACCTGTCGAAAACGATCTCACGCTCACCCCACCACTGGTTTTAATGGGTTAGGGAAGGGGCAGGGTTTTTTGTTCGGCGAGGAAGGGGGTGGGGGTTGTTGTTCGGTGGGGAAGGTGGGTAGGAAGAGGAAAGGGGGAAGGAGAAGGAATCAGGGAGGAGGGAAGGAGGGAGGTGGATGTCATGTCCGGCAAAGGAGGAAATCAAAAAAGAAGGAAGGGGGAAGGAGAAGGAATCGGGGAAGAGGGAAGAGGGAAGGAGGGAGGTGGCTGTGTAATACCCCGTATTTTTATACGTATTTTGATTTAAATAAGTATTTCCTAAAGTATTTAAATAATTCGAAATGAATTATTTATGGTGTTTTTATTTAATTTAAAAAGATAAAGTTTATTTTTAACTATTTAATAATCTTAAAAATATTTTATTTAATGATTTAAAAATATTGGGGCATATTATTTTATAAAAAGATAAATTTTAAAGTCAATGATATTTATGGAAAGTCAAAATACAAGTTTGACTAGGAAAGGGATCATTAAGGGTAGTAAAGGAATTTTAAGTAGGAGGATTGAGAGGGGGTATAAATACCCATCATATGCCTAAGGTGGAGTGCACCCAAAGGTAAACTCTCTCTCCTCTTATTTACTTTTATCCTTAATTTTTCCCCTTCCCCTTAATTTTAAGTTATTTCATTTATCTTAATCACCACCCACACACCACCACACGCCGCTAGCCACCATCACACGTCGTCGGACCACCGTCGCAGCCACCAGCAGGCGCGGCAGCAGCCAGCTGTGGTGTCGGTGCTGCAGTTTTCCAAAAAAAAAAAAACTTGTTTTGATTTTTTTTAATTAAATCTACCCTAATTTAATTATTGTTTTTGAGTTTTGTGATGATTTTAGGATGTTAATAATAAGTATTTTTCTATATTAATTTTCAGATTTAATCCTAAATTAAAAAGGCCCAAATTGAAAACCCTAGATTTCTAAATTAATGTATATTGTTGGAATTTGATTGTAGGTGATTTAAATTATTGAAATAGGTATTTTAAAACATAATTACAGCAATTTAAGATGTTTTAATAATGCTGAAATTTTTATATATAAGCTATAATTAAGTTTCTTGAAAGGATTTTTAATTACCCATTAATTGGGAATAAAAGTAAGGGTTTTAAATTAAATTTCAAATTATTTTAGAGGGTTTATGAGTGATTTAAAGAGAGTATATATTGCTGGAAATTTGTGTGAAAGAGGTATTAATACTTCTTTGTAATTTTGGTTTATAGGAGATTTCCAATTGAGTGATTTTATTTAGTCGTGGCGATTTTGAGATCATATTCAAGGTACGTTCGCGTACTTGGTAATGTTTAAGTGTATAGAATCATGCTAGACTTTGTTTAATTAATTCCAAATAGTATCATGACAGGTGTTGATTGGAATTTGTTGGTGGGATTGGTGTTGGCGAATAATTTGTGATGTGTGAATTAATTGTAGTGAATTGTTGATTGGAATTAATTATATTGGCATGTAGGATATGAACCACACTTTTATTATTGGCACGTTAGAAATCATGTTTAATTAAACTAAATGTTTAATTTGGTTGAGAATATGAAAAGGGAATTTTATTAAGGTTCATATAATTTTTATTGATGCTATAAGCATGAGGAAGGAGCTATTTAAGTGTCTATGTACACGAGGATTAAATTATATTTTGGTGCCCAAGTGCACTTAAGGTGTTTCTAACACCGAGGGATAGGATTTGTGGCGCATTATGCGTTTAAGGTGTCTTTGACACCGAGGTAGATTAAAAAGGGTTCAACTATAAATTTATGTGGTCACTAATTATTCAAGAATTTAAATTGGTATGTTTGAATGCTTGAATAAATTATAGTGTTTGATTTGTGTTGTGTTTGAGAGTCATCACCAAGTCTAATAATTTGTAAAGAACGTAAAGTGAAAGAGGTTACGCACCAAAACTCTTGGAACGTATATACCTTGAGTATGAACATATGGGGGGAGTTATGCAACTTTATATTTGACCACAACTTCTACTGGAGTACAGGGTGCTGTATTTTCCTTATTATGCGCAGGAATTCCACCACTTACGAGTGGTTCTTTTATACTTTCACGGTTAGCTCCCGTGTTAGTACCCTTTATTGGGGCAGGTTAGATGGAAACCCGTTCGATGCGTAATCAAGCTAAATAATTGGACTAGTTCTTGTCTAGTTAAGTGTTGAGTGTCTTGTGTGCTTTTAAACAGGTGCAACACGGTAAGTTGGGTGATGATAGGATGAAAGCATGTTAGTGTGTTTTTATTACACTTATGTACTCAACTTTGTTGATTGTGTGTTTGTATGTTTGTTTGGTCTTGTCTTTGCTTTGGCCCTACGACGACCCATTTCTAAAGGCGAGTAGTGGGGACAGGTAGAGAGAAGCTTTTCAGGTGATGAAGCATATTCATGAAGGGCATGAGTGAAGAGCGAATCATGCTTAGTTCTCACTGGAATGTGATGTGTTTTATTTGTTTTAAATATTATTTAATTATATTGATCATGAGACTAACGCAAAGGTTTTCAGTATGGTTTGATTTTAAGGGCCTACGATGGTTCCAAGTTGTAGGTTGACTTTGTTTGAATTTACTTTCGTTTGGTTTGACTTTTTTTTGTTGACTTGTTTTAAAGTTAGTCTTCTGCTGTGTGAGTCTTTGATAATTGTCTTAGCCATTTTCACGGTGGCGGTAATATCTTAGATTTTCCTTCTTCGTATTTTAAAAGGGAAAAATTTGGTATTTTAAGGAAAGGAATTTCTAGGGTGTTACAGGCTACCATGTCCGGCAGGGGAGGGAATCGAGGAAGAGGTGGGTCCGGCAGGTGAGGGCGGCTAATTTCGGTGTGCAACTAGTCCGGCAGGCGGCAGGGGAAGGAAGAGGAATTTTATTTTAATTCCTTTATATTTAAAAAAAATATTTTAAAAAAAACCAATCAGAAGGTGACACATAGCAGTCACCTTCTAAAACCGGTTGCTAATTCCTCAAACCGATAAAAGGCTCATTTTGAGAATATGGGGTATAAAAGTGTGATTGTTTCCAGAATACGCAAAGGTGGGATTGTTTTGAGAAGATGAGCCAAAGATGAGATTATTAGTTTCAATTTTTCCTATTTTCATTACAATTAAGCTTACACCCAAAAGGTTATACGTCTTCATTTAAGCTTATTTATCGGCTTTATAAAAAGGTAATTTCAATCACTATTACGTGGAAAAAAAAGGAAGACAAGTAATAAGAAATACTTCGTAACTAACTAGTTTGTTGAGTAATTAGGTTTTGATGATTGTAAACTAATGATGATTATCTATCTAACGTGTTTGTTAAGTTGTGCATAGAAAGAACAAGTTATGCTTGGAACAAGATACAAGGAACCTGAGCAATGATAAGTATATATATAAGGAACTTAAGCAATATATTATAAGCAATAGAAGGAACAAGTAGAGAAATGATGAGTGATGGTTGATAAGCATGATGATGGCAAAGAAACCATGAAGGTAACTATATAAATAGGTGTTTGCATATGTTAGCTTCATGAGGTAAGTATCCTATGCATACATGGTCATGGATGTGTAGGAGTCTTTTAATTTATTAGTTTAGTCTTTCTAGTTTTCTTTTAGGTTAGCTCTAGTTTAGTTTTGTTTTGTTTTAGTTTTCTTTCTTGCTTTTATAACTATAAAAATACAAAAATACGTGGCTTTAAGTTTGATTAGTTCTCTCACTTGAAGTTTGTTTATGACAAATAAACTTCAATCTAATGTTCTCTTAAGTGCTTATGTGAAGACAGGAACTGAATTAGGTGAAGTCAATGGGTTGGAACATAGAAGTCTTCAAGAGGAATAAGAGAGAATGAATGAACCTAAAGCAGGTTCTCCCGCAGGAACCAAACCACGAAGGAACCTAACGGTTTTACCTCCAACGAGATCCAGAAGGAACCTTTGGTAGGCTTTCCCATGAGAGCCTAAGCATGTTCCCTAACAGGTACTTGAGGTGTTCTTTAATAGGTACACACAAGGAGCTTCCTAACAGAAGCATGACAACAAGCTGAAGAGTGAAGCTTAGTCTGCGAAGATGACAACAAGTTCCAGATGAACTTGGCCTGCGGTTCCAGAAGAGGAACGTCGCCCCAAGATTCAGAATACATCAAGACTACAAGATTCCAGAACAAGAGTTTCAGAGAAGCAACATGAAGACGGAGAAATTGAAGTATATTGCTCTCGGATTCATGTAAGTATGTTGGACATAAAAG